TGCATACCCTCTTTCGAAACTTCAACGTAGTCTAGACGTACCCTCACAGAACAATCTGGTAGCTGATCCTACAGCCTAGCAGCATACACATCCCACACGTCCCCAGCCTTGCTGCCAGGGCAGCCACCCACTAGGCAAGCGAGTAGAGGAGGACTGGTATTTGGCCAACAGGGGGCAGGTGGGTGCTCCCTGCCCCATTCACTTCACTGCCCCCCCGAGCTAAAGGAGGTGGGATCCCAAGAGATGCATTTGTGCAAAACCCCGGACTTGAGCTCGCAACGTCCCGGACACTCGTTAGCACAACACGACGGGAGCGCGGGAAGCAACCTACTTTGATATCCGGGAATTGGCCAAGGTAAGTGTCCATGGTTAGAAGCGCCTGATCAACAAGCTTCTGATGGAAATCCACCCAGAGCAGGTCATTGTTCTGAAAGACAAAAAGGACCACGAGCAAGTTGACATTTCTATTGACTGTGATCTCCAAGCACATGGCAATCTGGAGAGAGCCTCCCAGAGAGAGTCATTGTGACTCTTTTGGGGAAACTGAGGCACGCACAGCATGGATCTAGAAGAGCTGCGTAAGCATGAAAGTTTCTCTCTCTCTCTCTCGGGAACAGCAGTTGGTCTTCCCGCACCGTGTCTCTCCAATACCTGGGACTGAAATCGCTACCTCAGCACTGCATACCCCAGATCACACGGTCGATGTGGGAATAGAACCCGCTAGTCCGGATTCTCCTAGTCCAACTGCCAGACTGTCCTTCTGGCCAAGGCTCCCTCGAAGCTGCGCGGCCGCACAGCTCCGTAGCTGCTTAATGAACCCCGCCAGGGGCTCAGGGCACCGCGCACGGAGCTGCCCAGCTGGGGAAGGGGCACTTTTCCCTCAGTGACAGCAGCAGCTCCCTGCCAAAGGCAAGGCAGTGTGTCTACCCCTGCCGGTGGGGAGGGGACATGGGAGACTCCGGCTTCATCATGCTCCCGTTGAAGTCAATGGAAAAAAAAAAAACTCCCACCGACTTCAATGGATCGTTCCCTACATGCGGACACCGCGCCCCATGCACCTGGAGTAAATCTGAGGCGCAGGCTGGTTTACTCCCCAGGCCAAAGCAGCAGGTCACCTCACCTGGGAGAGCCGAGGGGGCCTAAGGAAGAGCATTCCTATAGCAACCCCATTCCCCACCGTTCCGCTTCTTCATTACCTTGCAGAGTGCGCTTTTCCTTACCTAGGGGCTTCTAAATGCCACTCAAGATCGGCATCCCCCAATCAACCCGCCCACACCCACCACCGTGTCACTACTGCTGAGGGACACGCCACCTCAGGGCTCCTGCCGCTTGACCCCAAGTCACTGTGAGCGCCCCGAACTCCCTCTGGACGCCCCAGAAAAAAAGCCTACAGTGCAGAGAAGGCCCTGCCAGGAGCGCCTGATGAAGTTATAATTAACCCGTGGATTTGGGGGAGAGAAACAGACCCAAGAAAACCTCTCCAGCTCCACGCAGAACCTCTTCACACACAACAGAGCCATTCCTCTCTGCTTTGGCTCCACCCCCTCTTCGGGTCACCGTTCCCTTTCCGATCCCCCCGCCCCCCAGGCTCTTCTCCCTCCTCCAAGCAGCACCATTACGCGTTCCTTTCAAAAAGGGACACTGTCAAATGAGTGAACCCCGTAAGGAACCCTTCCCGTACTCCTTCAGCTCGTAAGCGGTTGGCTCTTGTTCGGCTTCGATCCGCAGCCCCATAGGGATCGAAGCAACTAGTCAAGTACTCGACTACCCAATGAGCCTAGGCTTATTGTGTCATCAAGTCGACTACTCGTTTCCCCCCATCTCCCACTTGCTGCCTCTGTATCAGAGGCAGCAAGGGGGGGAGTGCAGAAGCAGGAGCTGGTGCTGAGGGGAGCCGGCTTAAAATCTGGTCCCTCCCAGCACCATCTGCGCAGTTCCACAGTGCACAGCGGGGGGAGAGGGAACGGGGGGAAAAGACGGCTGCTCTACGCTATTTGCCCTTTGCAGGACGTATCTCAGGACAGCCACTGACCCTGCAAGCAGCCGTGTGTGGCTGGAGATAAGTCTAGCATTAGAGAGCAGAGCGCAGGAGGTAAGTGCACCTGTCCCACTAATCCGCTCTCCCGGGGCCGACCTCCCTGGCGTGGCGTCTCACCTCAGCTATTTTGTTGGTGTCGTCTCTCCCCGGCCACTCCGGCTCATACACTTCCTGCAAGCATTCCGTCAGCTTCTTGGAGGCCTCGTGCATCGCTAGGAGAGACGAGAGGACAGGCTCAAAAACCGCGGGGCGGCGCTCCGCCAAGGCGCCCCTCCCTGGGGCTCGCAGGAACTCAACATGGGCACCACACAAAGGGAAGAGAGGGGCTCCCGCAACCAGTCACCCAAGCCGCACGACGTTCATGGTTTCGCCTCACCTAGCAGGAAGCGGGAGGGGCCGCCTACCAACCCTCACCAAAACCACGCGGCTGGCTGGCTGCTGGGAGGAGAAGACAGCCTCCCCAAGCCAAGCTGCCCCACCAATATGGGAGCCAGCACCAGCCAGCCGGAGGGAGGTGGGACTTGAACCCACCACCCTGTGCTCCACAGGCAAATCCTCTAACCCAGTGGTTCTTAATCTTTTTGAGACTGGGGACCAATAAACCCATTCACAAGCTTTTGGAGGACCAGTAACATTTATTTGCATGTTCATTAAGCAAATGATGAAGATGCAAATAAATTGTGTCGCTGGTCCTACCTGTCCAGCGGGTTGTTCCGCCCCAATCCCGGCCGCTTTATCAGCCTGGCGCACGGTGCCCCTCCCTCCTGGCCCCAATCCCGGCCACTTTATTGGCCAGCGCCGGCTCCCCCGGCTGCGTCCGGCACGGGGCGTTCTGCGTCGGTGCGCACGGCGCCCAGCCTTCTCCCTGGGTCCTAACACCCGCTTGATCTTGTCCCACCGCCAGGGAGCTTGCCTGTCAGAGACGCCATGGCAGTGGGTTCTCTCCCAAGAGGGCCGCGCTCGGCAGTACGGATGCTGCGACCCCGTCTCACAAATTAATAGGCTCATGCGTGATAATTTTTCTAAGGACTGGTATTTTTTTTCTAAGGACCAGTACTGGGCTTTGGGAAACACTGCTCTATCTCCTAAGTCACTCCAGCACCTACCTTCAGCGGGTCCTTTATCCTGCCTTCCTAATGCAGGAGCCAGTAGTCAAAACACCTTATTGATTACAGGAGCCAGCCTGGGGAGCAAGAGAGTGCAAAACCGGCCCTCCCTCACCGGGCCAGTCGCTCCAGGAAACCCATTCCTGGGAATAGAAACGGGCAGGAAAAGCTGTGGCCAAGAAAAGCCAATTTGCGGTGCCTACAGCTGGAAAAGCGACAGGCCTCCAGAGGCACAGGTGTTACCTTTTACAGAAGTCAGGTAAGTTCGGAGATCCTTCTGCAGCTTGCTGCCTTCTGTCTGCGAAGAGAAGGAAAAGCCAGCGGGTTATTGGTTGGTACCGAGGGAGATGGAGTCATGCAAGACGGGGCTATGAAAGGAAAAAAACAACACATACCTGAACTGCCTATACAACCCGACGGCTGAGAAGCCGGCACAGGCTAAGAAACAGGTTACGTGGGACGGCGCAAAGTGAACCAAAAAATCAAGACGGAGGAGGCTGCTTAGGCCAATGAGCCCCACTGCAAAGTTACAGGCCTCGGGGCATCGTCACCCCGGGACTGTCTCTGACCCCATCCTCGGAGTGCTTGCCGCCTGCCTTTGTTTGCAGCTGGAAAGGGGACTTGGGCTGGAACCGGAGTGAGAACTCCGGGTTAGTAGACAGTGTAGACAGACAAACATAGGCTCTAGACTGCAGCAAGGAGCCCAACGTGCAGGTTTTGGGGGAGGTTAGAAGATCTAACCCAAGCAGAAATGTATTCTTGTGGTATTTTTTACACGACTGAACCATTTCAGTTGTACCATTCCCCCGGAAGGTTGGAAACACAAATCACACCAGCGCTGTGCCGGCGTAGAGGTTAGCAAGGGGACACCGAAAGCGCCCCATTCGCTGTTCCAGCTGTGTGACACTGCAAGGAGCCAACAAACAGCATGAAAGGTGAAAACGCCAATCCAAGGTTTTAAACCGGCCGTACAGCAGTGACGGTGGATTTCATTCGTTTGGAAGCTAATGGTTAAGAAATGCAGTCACTGGTTTGCTTTGGGGACTTCAGAGCTGGCCAGACACCATGGTGATGGACACAGTACAAGAAATGAGGTCAAAATATTGTCATCTCTCTCTCACACAAATCACACACCCCAACTCCCTCCCCCACTGACCACACACACACACACACACACACACACACACACACGCCCTCCCCCTCTGACCACACACGCCCTCCCCCACTGACCACGCACACACCCACACACCACCACCACACACACGCCCTCCCCCACTGACCACGCACACACACACAGACACTGACTACACACACACACACACACACACACACACCCTCTGACCACTCTGGAAGCGCTCAGTACTGAATGATGCAAACGTTGCTTTTTACTGAATGTTTAAAACAGGGGTGGGGAACCTCAGGCCCTCAATGCCCCCCCCAGCATTGGGGAGCCTGTGCTGGTGTTCCAGCCCCCATGCTGCCCCACCATGGGGCTGGAGCACATACAGTTTACTAGCCTGTGCCCCTGGGGTCTGGCGTAGGAGGGAAATGTGGGGAGTGTCTTTCTGCTTCTCAGCTGGGGGCCACATCAGAGAGAGGTTTTGGGTTGTTGGGGGGGGTTTTTTTTGCTTTTTTCTCTCATGTTCAGGCCCCAAATGATTTTTCTGTGAGTTAGGGCCCCGACTCAAAAAACGTTCCCCACCCCGGTTTAAAATATACTGGGCCCGACTCACCACGGCCTTGCGAGCTGTCGTCACTTCCAGGTGTGTAAAAGGAGGCATCACACACACACTACAGCAAGTCAGAAAAGGAGCCTTCGGCACCCACGCTGTGCTGATGCAAACCACAAAACAGGGAAGGCAGGGGAGAGGCGGGTGCCAGAGAGCAGCGGCGTGGGGGCGGCCTTCTGTTTGCACTTGGATTTCTGTTTCCATCCTCCGGTGCTTTGCAGTGGAGGGAGTGTTGGCTCAGATGGCCTCAGATATCAAGGGAATCTTCTAGGTAGGGATGCGAACAATTAAGTGGCTAGCATCACCCTTACCGGGGGATTCTTACCCGTTTCGGTTAACCGGCGGGGGCTGTAACATCCCCCCCGACATGCGCGGAGGGCTACTCCAGCCCGGAGGGTCCTGTTGTTGGGGGCACTTTAGCCACGCCCCTGTTGATGAAGTTAACCAGTTAAACATTTTAACCAGTTAACCAGGATTTTATACCTCTACTTCTAGGGGACCCAAAGGTTGAAGGAGAGTCTGAAGGAGACAGACGTCCTGTGAGGGGGAAAAATACAGATTTGATTTCCCTAGACTGAACACTTCCTTTGGTGCTTCGCTAGCCCAGAAAGCAGCTGTGAAACGCCACACACAGGATGCTAGAGGGTGGCCGTTCCGCCCCCACGTTCGGTTACATTTCATTTCATTTCCCGGCTTCCTTCCCGGCTGGAATGTCCACACGGGGCCCCCGTCAAATGCACGTGGACAGGCTGAGGAGGGAGCTTGCTGGTGTCTCAGGTGGCTTCAGGCTTCGCACCGCTGTGGAAGCAGATGTTTCCTATCACCCTCCCCCCTTTGGGGGGCTGCCTCTCCGCCCCACACACAGGATGCTAGAGGGTGGCCGTTCCGCCCCCACGTTCGGTTACATTTCATTTCATTTCCCGGCTTCCTTCCCGGCTGGAATGTCCACACGGGGCCCCCGTCAAATGCACGTGGACAGGCTGAGGAGGGAGCTTGCTGGTGTCTCAGGTGGCTTCAGGCTTCGCACCGCTGTGGAAGCAGATGTTTCCTATCACCCTCAGCTCTTTGGGGGCCTGCCTCTCGCCCCCAGCTTGCCTGCTGGAAAACAGAGCTCGCGCCGAGGTGCCTTGCGTTCCAAGCGCTGGTGCGCGAGCTGAGTGGATTCTAGAACTGCTTCTTCTCATCCAGCTGCTAACATGACAACATTCCGTGTCTCAGTGCAAAGCTCAGATGGCTTGGTGGGAGCGGGGAAATGAACAGTGACCACGTGGGCTGCAAGAGTAGAACGGGGGTGGACATCCAAGCCTGGGGTACCAGGCACAAGCCAACTGTGGGTGTCTAGATGCTGGGAGGTGCGAATACAGCACATGCACACTGCCCTGGACTTGCTTTGATCTAGCTAGCTCACTAGAGCAGCAAGGCATGGACCGCAGCTCAGACAAGCCACTCAAGTATGTCCCAGAGTCCAAGGCCGGAGGTGGGGGGGCAGTCCAGGCCCTTGCAAATTCTCAATCAAGCCAGCTTTGATCTGATGTGCAGCAATCACGCCTCTGGAGGGTGCCGATCGAGGGACAGCCTGGCCATGCCACGGGGATGTCAGCAGGGGGGCAAGGGAGATGGGCCATTAAAGGCAGTCCCACAAAAATAACCTCTAGGGCAGGGTTTGTCAAATGCTACCACCCTGACCATGTATGTGTGCTGCCAGGGGCTCTGCTTGGGGTCACAGCCTCCAGGACAGTGTCTGGGGCTGCTGCTTCTGCCCGACACTCCCACCCTTCATCCACAAACACCGGAGGAGCAGGCAGCCAGTCTGTTCCCCGCCTTGCAGGGGGTAGTGCGGCTCCGACGTCTTCAGCGCTGGAGCAGCAGGTGGCAGGCTCAGTCATCAATTTCAGGCTCCAGGCCTGAACTCTGGTGGTGAGTTCCAGACCCCTCTCTCTGCAGTGTCCCCGGCCCCCGTCGCCTCCCTGATTCCCCAAAACCATCCCCCTGTTGCCACTGACTCCCTGCTGATTCCTACCCACCTCCACGTCCAGGGCTTAATTTGTCCCACGGCTGAGTAAGTCTGCTGTGAAAAGTGATATCTGCCTGCTTGTTAATTCCACTTTTCATAGCTTCCCAGTTAGCTAGGAAACCTGCTGTGAATTGATATTAACACACACACACACACACACACACACACACACACACACCCCTCTATTCCTTTTGGCAGCCGCAGTCTTACTAGACAAGCTAAAGAAACAACCACCAAAACCCAAGAATGTGCAAAGCACTTGATCTGTGTTTCTATTCTATGTAGGTCCAGTTAAAAACAGAGATCACGGTATCTTATTTTTATTCTTGAGTCTGCAAAACAAAAGTTTACATACATTTAAATGATTTGGACAAGTCTCTGCATATTTATTGGCTTTTCCTACAGCTAATTAAGTCTCTTAGGAAAAACTGTCAGCGCAAAAGTTGGTGGCCACGCGCGGAGGCTGTGAAAACTTTGGTCGTGAGGATCTGTGCTCTAACGGTTTCACTCTCTGGAATTCCAGACCTGAGGAAGGACTGCGAGAAAAGGAAGGAGGAATCCTCAATAACCACATTTTCCAAAGTAACCTCAAGTGTTAGGTGCCACTTTTTTGGGGTGCCCGACGTTGGACTCACAAAACTAGGGAGAAGCAGCTGCTGTATTAACTGAGATGGAACATATGGTCCCCAAGAATCCAAAGGTGTTCGCATGATGTTGGCGTGATCCATCACTGATACACTTAAACAAAACTCAAGGTGTGCTGTCCCGAGACCTCACCCGGCTTGGTAGCATGGCAACCACATGATTACAAATCTTCTTGGCCTTGCCTTATAAAGATTCCATAAAGAAGAAAACAGACAAAAGCGTTCGATGTGTAAAGTGTTAAGTAAGGGTTCCAGTTTAACCCACGCCCCTCGTTCTTTCCCTGGAGCTGTAGCCAGCTTTTATAAAGACAAACACCCTGCCTGACAGTCTCTTGGCTGGAACTGAAGATGGTCCTTACGGAGATCCGAGAAGCAGTTCGGTGAAGATGGGCTGGAGCTATTGCTAAAATCTGACCCCACTTCCAAAAAAGCCAAACGAGCCAAACAGAAAGGGAGAGAAAAGAACAGCAGAGACAGGAAATGCAGCTGCTGCATCTGCCACTCTGAGACCTGGCAAACTTTTCACTGCCTTTCGAGTCACAAGCTGCTAGCAGCCTTGGCCAGCTTAACTAGGCTCTTAGTAGACAGAAGAGCAAGAGAGAGGGACAGGAAAAAGAAGAAATATGGTGAGGAACAAAACGGACAGATGGCAGGGAGGGGTAACAAAAGTCTCATATCCCAGGTGAAGATGTCGGCAGGGTCTCTTTCTCCCGTCTGCTCTGGCCAGACCATTTCTCGGGATGAGAATTGCAAAGGCTCAGTGCTGGTAAATAGCCTCTGGGTCTGAAGAGACGGTGGTCATGATGGTACGCTCCCTGCAGCTGTTAGAAGCTTCTTTAAGTCGGCCACTGTTGCTTCCGCGTCCCAATTTTCCTTCCCACGTCTTTTCTTTCTTTGGGAGATTTAGGTT